TCTAAACTGTAATATCTCAAATTGGACAATGGTAATTTTCACACAATGCATTTAACCAATCTATTCGGACGGAAATCAAAACAGAAATAGTGTTACGTTTGGAAAGATAGTTAGAGAAGTTGAAAATTTATAAAATGAAAAAAGTAAAATGCCGATTTGACCATGCGTTACACCCTACACATATACATCCGTCCACTCAAGCACGCATCGTTGAACCGTCTCACATATCCACTCACGCACGCACGCACCTTGAACGCCCCACATACCCATCCACGCCTAGAAGGTACAGTCTCACATCTCGGCGGTATTTCCCGGTTGAACTTGGTGTCATTGTGTGGTATGTGTTAGTATTGCAATGTGGGTCTTTCTCGAATAATTTGTTGTAAAGTTTTAGGAATTTAATCTCAGGAATGAACAGTTAGCAGATTTAATGAGTCGGCATATATCTCTACAGAAAAAGAAACAATGGAAATGAAATACATCAAGAGGCGTGTTTTCTTCTTACGTTCACGTCTACTTCTATTGTAGCATTAAGAAATGATTAAGTGAAAGTGATTAGTAATATAATTTACCATGTGACAAATAAAAACAGATAATAACATTCTCTTTGACAACGAGAAATAAGCGTAGCGGTTTGTTACTGAGGGAAAAGAGAGAATGAGAGAAACAGGTGAAATGGTATAATGCCATGTTTCTATTATTAAAAAACATGTTTCAAATGTTCATTCTGTTGCCTTTATCATAATAATAATAAATATGACATGCTATGCAAATTGCTTCAGTTTATGCTTGTTCTCATGAAAATAAAATTTGGATGAGTATTAATTCCAGTTATTCTCGTGAAAAATTAATTCCATGAATTCAGTTGAAGTTTACTGCCATTATTTGTATAATTGTATTCCGTAGAACCGAAGTAACTCGAGGAGATTTTAAAAATTCATTAAAAAAAAAAATAAAGTAAAGCTTGAATTTACTTTACGTTCCTAATAATTAATGTCGTATATATAATATCCAGAGAATAAATCATGCTATTAAGCATATTATATTACATTGGATGTGGCATATAATGACATGGCAGTAAATAAAAAAAATTTTTTTTTTCAATTAAATGGTAACAAAAAACGTATAAGTAATATATTGTAATGATGCAACGATATCAGTTAAACTGAAGAATAAAGTGATGAACGATCTACCAAAATTAATTTTTGTGAATCTTAGTGATGACATGCGCAGTGTGATAAGTTAAAAAGAAAAAAAAAAGCAAAAAATAGTATAATGAAGGAATAATTTAAAAAAAGTAGCGTTGTAACATCTGATCAAGTGAAATAGGTTAAAAAAAATGACATATTTGATATGGATGTTAAATATAATTTGATTAGCAGGTAAATATTTCGTTATAGTTGGTATTGCGTCATTTGAAGTACACGTATAAAAAAGGTAAAATGCTGTATTCTTAAAAAAAGCTTTTTATGCTGAATATTTCATTTCGTTATTGCTTATTTTAGAATGTGTTAGTTTATCGATCACTTAAGCATTCACCAATTAGAAAACATAATTTGAATCGGTTTAAAAAGGAATGAAAATTGAGAGAACCATAATGCTATCTCTTTCCTTTAATAAAAAATTTAAAATTTGCAGCCAATATCCAATTCATACACTGTAAAAGGAAAAATTTAATATTTTAATAGCAAAAATATCTTATAAATTTACATATAAAACAATAACATAAATTTATAATAGCAAAAATGTATTTATAATCGAAAAGATATAATCAGATTTGTAAAGTAACACAATCATAACTCTTTTAATGAATAATTTGTAAATTTCTCTCAATTTAATCAAGATTTTATCTTTGTTTGAGGTAATTTTAAATGAATAATTTTGAATGTGAATTAAGTGAGATATTAGCTATAATTTCTCTTTTGACAATTTTTTGCAGTATGCATCACCACTTATCTTTCTTTTACTCGTAATTGTGCATTTGGATAAATTTGACAAGCAAAATAAACGATAATAAAAATTATACATTTTAAAATGCGTATCATAACTGAGAATTTTTTTTTCGTTATTCATGCTCTTGTATTCCATCCCATTCACATGTATTTGGTATAAATTATTGGGAAAAATTTTGCTAACCTGTTAATTCCAGCTAGTTTCAATCATAAAATTAAGAAATGCGTTCTTAAAAAATAAATGTTTTGAAATTTATGTCGTTATTCCATTCCATGAAATAACAAGTCACGCAAACGTTAAGACGTGCTACGTGTCATTTGATTACATTGCATCAAATGGCTTAACCATGTACTATATTTTTCGTTTTCTATCATATAACACATAATTAATCCGATTGTAACGACCGTTTTTTCCTTCCTTTTTTTTGCATTACTAATGAATGGCAATCAAATGATAAAAATCAATCGGAAATATCACAGTCATTTCAGTTGATTTTATATTTGGATAATTAGCTGGAAATTTTATAAGTTTTCTTTGCGGTATAAAAGTGTTACAGTATCAGCTTTAATGAACTGGTAAAATTATCATTTGATAAGCAATATTATATATGAAAAGAGTGAACAAGAAAAAATTAATTCACAATAATTCTTACAAATTGATTTTGAAAATTAAAAAAAAAAAAATCGATTTCAATTTACTATTAACAACGAATATCAAATTGTTGCTTCCAATTCATTTACCTGTAAGTCCAATTACAGAAATAATTCCCCATCGCTCAGTTATCATTTTTTGACAACCATCCCTGACAACGACCGTTAATAATGAAATTATTTACAGTTATTATAAATTTAATATTTACGTAATTCATCAAAATAATGTCTTCCTATTAGCCAATACAGATAATTTCTCAAAAACACGATGCTGTCATTATTGTTTATTTATCATCGCGAAAATATCATTTCCTTTATCATTTAGCATCATATCGCCATCGAGAAGCAATCGTAAACTATTCGTTCTTCATAGATAAAAAGATTTGCAGGAAAGAACACTGCAGCAATTCCAAATGTACGGATTTATTGCACCAGATTATGCCTGATCGAGAGACACGTGAACACATATTACAATAGTTAAAATATATATCGAAGTTTGTTTTTAATTTGCTTTTATCCACTCAACTTAGCTCAACACATTTGACTAAATCGTAAGGCCTATTGAAAGAGCTAAAATATATCTCACCAGCCAAAAGGATAGTTACAAATCACTATGCCGAATCAATTAATAGCTTCTTGAATAAGATTTTACTTAAGAAGTGAGATATATTTCAACAGTTTTTAAGAAGTTATAACTGAGATGCTTATAACTAAGAAGTATTGCTTTTCAAATATACCCCAAATTATTTAGATTTGTTATTCCATCATTAATATATGAAGTGATCAAAAAATTATCCAAGTTTAGCTAAAGTATGATAACATTAATGAAATAGACCAACGAAACTGATATCTGACGGAGAAGACATCAACGCATATACATTTATGACTGAACACTGAATGTAAGAAAGCCGTTCAAGAAATAAAATGTAGGTTTATGATTTAACTATTTTACATAAGACAAGTAATACTAAATAACTATTTATAGATAGATAATACAGATTAACTATTAGACAATAATATATATTATGTCCTCTCATAAACAAGAGATTACTGACTTTTTTTAAAAAGTTTGAGCTCATGAGGATTTACGGCAAAGCTATTCAAAGCTCAATTTTTATAGGAAATGATTAGATAGGAGGAAGGAAGATGTCTTTAACTGCTACTAGCACTGAAGCATTGATTAAATTGAAAGGAAACAAAAAAAGTTGCAGGTGAACAAAAGAATCTCTCAAACTGCATTTCACTGAAGAACATCCAATTATAAGGAAGGATTTAAAAATGCCGATAGTTTATTTAATAAGTAAAGGTTAATCACTACTAACATTTATCATAGCAAAAAGAAACCAACATATTTTGCAGTTTTTCATTTTTTTTTTTACAATTTTTTTCGCGTATTTTCTACAGAAGGAATCATTCACTTCTCTTGTAATCATCCATTAGTAACAATTTATCAAAAAAAAGAAATCTCTAACACAAGACTGATGATAATCTGTCTCCTCATTTATCAATGAAATGATCTGCAGTGATAACACCGAGTACTTCTTTTCAGCAATGCTTTCATCTATAAACTATCATTAATTTTGAATATCATAGAATTATGGTTCTCGATTTAAGGCTAGAAATTAAATTTATCTCGCGCACACTCATTTTTTAAAGGCAATATTCGGTTAGCTTCAAAACTAGAGAAAAAAAAAAATGAAATGAATGAATCCACTATTATCTTATTTTACTGCCACGCACGCATATACATCAATAATTTCAACATTCCTTGCTTCACATGGCGATCGACGACAATATTTTACGCATATCTGAATTAACGGATTTGTCGGAGCAAAAGCAGGATGAAAATAGTGTCATGTTTTGAGAGAGAGTGAGAGAAGTTGAGGATTTATGAAATGAAAAAAATAAGGTATCAATTTGATCACATAAATAAGGAATATTACACACACAGAGATAAGTGCACATACATACGTACCACCCTCACATATCTATCCACGTGCCCACTTCGGTCCACGTCAGTCTTTTGTTTCGTCCCGACGGCACTTTCTTAATGGAGGTCATTGTTAGTGGAAGTGTCAGACGTTGACTGGGGTGTGTTGGTAAGTCTGCAAATCTTGCTATTTGCATGTTTTGCAAATTGTGCAGGCTGCTGAGTGTGTGGTAAATTTAGAAATGAAAAGGTTGAAGCTGCAAGTTGCAAATTTCTAAAAATTTGAAGTTTTTGCAAATAATTATTATCGATGTACATTTTTCTTCTTTTCTTTTTTGCAAACAAGATGAGGAAAATTGACAAATAATTGATTTTTTATGTGTGTTTTGGGGAATAGAAGATTGTTACGGTTTTTTTTTTTTTTTCTTACGTTTTCAGATTTGAGAATTGATTCGAGGAATATTACAATGAATATAGCTATTGTAGTTCAGCTTATCTTGTTTCATATTGTTGTTTTACGTTCAAGTCATCATGACCATAGCCATAATGTCGAAACACCACATTTCAAATACAGTCGTGAAGCTAATGAAGTACTTTTTTCTTGAATTTTGATTAAATTTTGAAGACTCCAATTAATTTAATATTTTGATTTATTTTTGCTTTGTATTCGATCCTTTAACATTTCATCAACGTATGAATGCATTCCATAAAGCTAGAAGTAATTATATATATATATATAAACATCGAGATAAAATTAGATAAAAATTTCACGTATAGTATTTTTCAGCAGTCAGTCCATGAGAATCATAGGTATTCCCACCATCATGATCATAATAATCATCATCATCACCATGACCAGCAAAGTCATCATCATGAACATTCGGAAAGTCATCGCAATGCTCGTGACAAATATTTTCATAAGAAAGAACATCATCATGCACATCTCACCGGAGTTGGTATCTTGTCGTCTCTAACTATCTTGCCTCGTTTTAGAATCCGGATCTGAATTTGCATACTCTGAGTTGAATTATACGGTATGTAATGGAGGATCATAAGCATATCATCATCCATTCGTGATAAAAAAGTTTTATCTGAATTTGAGAACAACATTTCTTCTACAAGATTATAAAGTGAAGTGGTTTTTATTAATGTTTCGATATTTCCTATTTAGTTCCGGATCTTTATTTAAACTAACATTTTTCAAGGAGAGCGATTGTCATCATCAAAAGTATAGCAAAACAAGTCAGAAAAATTATAAGCCTTACGATCCAAATGGGTAAGTATTTCTGTATTAGTCCCAATTATCACTGAGTTTTAATCATATCGACTTTTTGCAGCTAAAGATGTAAAATGTTATGAGATAAAAGATAGGCTGATTTTTTATAGCATTATTAGCAACAATTTTGGTGCAGTATTATTTATGACTTCAAAACTTTCTTAAAATTAAAAAACTCTTTTGTTTGGCTTTGCTGACTATTTTTAAATCAAGTTTTAAATGTTGAGCGTATTTCAAAGAACATTCATGTTGATTAAATCGATTTCCATCATTTCTAGGATTCTATCTTTCATGAATGATTTTCGAACACGTCTTTGGGTGTACAGTATTGGATCAACATTGCTAATCAGCTTTATGCCATTCGTTTTCTTATCGCTTATACCGTTAAAAGTAAAAGATTATTGCATATTGGTTTTATAAAGTATAATAAGTTATGTATTGCTTGCAGAAAGCATCCTCATTTACGGGATCATCAGACTTTTCCAAAAGTTTAAGTAGCTTATGAAAATTTAAAATTATTTGTGCTTATAGATCCATATGCTAACAATTCAAACGGTTTCAGGCGAACACTGCAGAAAATGAATCAATGCTGAAAATCCTTTTGAGTTTTGGTTCTGGTGGTTTATTAGGTGATGCATTCCTTCATTTGATTCCACATGCACAACCTTCTCATCATAATGGTCGAAGTTCGCATTCGGATTCGTACGCACATGATGATTTCCGACATTCACATGAGCCGCATGACATGACTGTTGGAAGTTATGTACTAGCTGGTATGAATCATTTTTCTCAGAATTTATTTTTTTTCTCATATTTTATGTTTTCACCATAAAATTCAATCTGAAAAGTTCTGATGATGTTGTTGTAGTGCGAGAGATCACTCAAGAAACTTCTCTTACGTTCACGTTTTAACTTGCGGTATAAAAAGATGGTGCTGAATCAAATTTAAACTTACAAAGAAAATCGCGATTTTCAGGAATATTAACATTTCTGACAGTTGAGAAGCTTGTACGTATTCTACGAAGTGAATACATAATTCATTCTCATTCACATGGAAATGGTTCATCATCTTCAGATCAAAAGAAGATTAGGAAGCAGCATAAAGCTGACCGAGTTAGTAAGGAAAAGAAATCGGATGTTTCATCAACAGAAGAAGCAAGTCATATTTGCATAACATTTTTAAATACTTTATTCCATTGAATATTGGAATTATCATAGTAACGAAAATTTTGTCATTTTGAGAAAAGTTTATGATATAACTGTCTGACTTATTCTGTTGTTTCATTGGTTGTCAAGGATTGCTGAAAAGCTTTCATATAATTTCAGTTTTTTGGTTAATTAGCAGTAACGATCAACATATTGTAGAGTTTGCATAGCTGTTCCGATGACGAGCACAAACATCTGATAGAAAAAACAAGCGATGTAACGGGATTCAAAGTAGCAGCATATTTAAACATGGTTGCAGATTTTGCGCATAATTTCACTGATGGTTTAGCAATTGGTGCGTCATTTTATGCTGGCACAACAATTGGTGTTGTAACAATGATTACTGTGCTCGTACATGAGATACCGCACGAAGTTGGCGATTTTGCGATCCTTATCCAGTCTGGTTTCTCCAAGAAAAAGGTTAGCAATTTTTTTTTTTCTTTGTAATAATTATATTCACTGCTGAATCAGAGTGATTGCTCAAATAAGTGAACATAATTCTGGATTCAAATTTTTATTGCGATACAGGACGTAGAAGTATTACTTTCTTATTACTTTTTAGTTCTACGAAGTTATTCAACTAATTACTGTATTGCTTATTGCCCGGTATTTCACACTATCAAATAAAGATTTTCCCTTATTTTTTGATTGTTACAGGCTATGTCTGTTCAACTTTTGACAGCTCTGGGTGCTCTTACCGGTTGCGTTTTGTCGTTATGTTCAACAAATGCTGATGAATTATCCGATACAGCTTCATCAAGTTGGGTGGGTAATTGGTTTTAGCATTCAGCATTTCATTATTTCCTAAAAATTTAGTGAAACCTTTGTGATTCCACAATAGTAAATAACTGGGAATTAAATAAAAGGGAATAGATAATGATATATTGCCTTTCAGTCGTATGTTTGGCAGTGAGTACGTGACATTACATTAAGCATCTGAATTGTTCTTTTGGTTCTTGTTTATAGGAAGGTCAGGGAGCGGATTAGAATGACATCTCTTATTTGATAGTCGAAATTTTCTTACTTTGATAGCCCAAATTCTATCACTCATGAATTAACCTTGAGAAAAATTTTAATTTAGCTGGTGAATCCTCTTTTTGTTTAAATTGTGTTATCTCTTTTGCTTTCAGATATTACCTTTCACTGCCGGTGGATTTATCTATATTGCCACAGTAACAGTTATACCAGAACTGCTTGAAAATACTTCTGTTTGGCAAAGCATCAAGGAAGTAGTAGCCTTGTTAACTGGAATAGCACTCATGTTTCTCATTGCTGCATATGAATGAAATGGTAAATAAAAATAATACTAATAATGATTACTGTTTGGAAAGTAATATATTATACGTATTATAATTTAATGCTCGTTCTTAAAAATTTAAGTAATATGTCTTTTTCCTTCGTATTATTCAAGTTTTTTTTTTTTGTTAACAAATATACTTTTTTATTTAAAATCCGGTATGTTGCCATGTTGCTTTTTTTACGCATTCTTTTTTTTTTTTTTTTTTTTTTTGGAGGAGGTTACTGATATTTGTGTTAGGTAGGAAATGCTTTTTAGGATTCATCACAATTTTACTAGTGTTGGATATAAAATGGAAATGATTATTTGTCTATAACCTAAATGTTGTCTATAACCACTTGCAGTGCACTGTTTATAATTTAAGTGTTTTTTGTTTACTTTTAAATTGGATTAATAGTTAAAAGTTTGTAATGAACTTCGATTATTCAAAATATTAAATAAATATGATGTTGAATAAATGGTTTAAATTTACTACATGATGCTTAATTTGAAGCTGTTTAAAATGGTTACTCGTAGTAGCCGTTACATATCAGATTCGATGCTTCAGTGTTTTGCAGTATTTTGCGGCAGGATTTATACTAAAAAATCGCCGAGAAATATGAGTTATATTCAATTATTAAATTTGGATACTTGTAAGAATAATATGGACTGGTTGTTTAAGTATGTTTTGTATTATTCTTAATCGTATTATCATTCAGTTGTTGACGTTTCAAATATAGACAGTGTTAGATTTAGAGTGCATAAATCAGGGATGGATGCTTTTTTGAACCGGTCAGAAAAGCAGGATCAAGCTTTAACGACATCAATGGAAATTCCTTGGGTTGAGAAGTAGTATGTTTCAAATTATCATATTGTGAAATATCTTAGTAATTCAAACGTATTATATTCATTATAAGTCTGGTTAATTCTTTTTTATTTTCTTTGTCATATTCCACTTATTTATGTAACTGGTTGAGTTTTTGAACTTAAGCAATTTGCTTATTTCAGTCGTCCACGGAAGGTTGAGGAAGTAGCTTTTCAAAATGAAGTTGTATCGGTGCTGAAAAAAGTACTGCGGGGAGCTGATGTAAGACTTTTTTTACAATTTACAAAATATTACAATTCATTTAGCTCAAATTCTCTTAATAGTGTTATGAAGTACAAATTGTTAGATTAGGAAGACAGCCAAAAATAACTCATGAAAATTTTGATAAAGCTTTTATGATATACAGCGTATCATTATAATAAAATTTTATGCAAATGTACATATTTCAGTTACCAAATTTGTTATTCTATGGACCGCCAGGAACAGGTAAGACATCGGCAGCTATTGCATTATGTCGACAGTTATTTCGTAATACCGATACATATCGTGATAGAGTTATGGAAATGAACGCATCCGATGAACGAGGCATTAATATTGTTCGCAATAAAGTTTGTTTTGCTTTATTTTATTGTTTTCGATTTTTGTTAGGCTACTTTTTCAGTGTCAATATAAATATAATTTTGAGTTTTTTAAGCACAATTCATTTTGCAGACACAAGATGATATAATTTTTCATCCGTTATGTTAAGTCACACTTCTATGAATGCTCTTATTTCACACCATCTGTTGCACTAAATTGCGTTTCACTGAATAATGATTGTTGCACAAATTTATTCTCAATTTCTTTTTCTAGATCAAAGAATTTGCTCGACGAGCTGTTTCATCACACTTACCAGATGGAAGTCCTGTTGTGGGATTAAAGGTTTATACTATTTTTTAACAATTTATTTTTTAATTTCAAAGCTATCATATTATATTATTCATGATCCGAACATTTTAAAAAAAGTGAAACTCTGTCCGAGCATCTGTTTATTATGAAGCTTTCATTGTTTTAGCTTAGTCAATTGTAAAGGGAAGAACTCCATTTAGCATCATTCAACCTTCAATTTTAGCAATTCACCTACTTGACGAGTCTGATATGATTTATTGCGTAGCCTTACACATTTCTTTCACTCTTTCAGCAACATGATAGGTGTATGGAAAAGTTATCCAGAATGCTTTGAATTCCTTCCTTTTTTTTTTTTTTAACTTTTTCAGTTAGTTGAAACTTAAATTTGTAAACGTTTAATGGATATTTTGATTAGGTAATTATCCTGGATGAAGCAGATGCAATGACCACCCCTGCTCAAGCAGCTTTAAGACGGACAATGGAACGGGAATCACGCACTACTCGTTTTTTTCTCATTTGTAATTACATCACTAGAATAATAGATCCGCTCACTTCTCGCTGTGCCAAATTTCGTTTCAAACCAATTTCATCGGAAAGTCAGGAAAAGAGGTTGCTAGGATTTTTTCCTTTTTCCTGTTTTCTGTTTCATAAAAATATTCTATAATTTTACTGTCTAGCATATTCATACTGTTTTATGTTCACTAATTGTGATTGACACAGTGCGTCGAAATATTTTAAATCTGAAACGAATTTAATTGAACTTGCCTGCTGTTGACCTTTCAGTAAATGTTTTTTAATTTTATTTGATTTTTATGTAATTAACTCTATATTATGATATTATCATGAATTTATTAGGGAAGTTTTAGGAGGCAATATATTGTAACGTGATTTAGTTCAAAATTAAGTAAATTAAGAATATATTGCTAAAAATATTGTAGACTTAAATGGATTTGCCAAAATGAGAATATTGAATTTGATCCACTAGCAATCAGTGAATTAATCGAATTATGTGATGGTGATATGCGAAAAAGTGTCACAGCATTACAGGTAAAATGCTGATTTTACTGGCAACAATTAATAGTATGAATTGTTTATTGATATCCAACTTTTAAAATTACACCGGTTTGAATGAATCTCAATAGACAGTTGTCTTTTCTTAGAAGGGGAGACAAATAAAATTTTAAAGTGGAAAAAGAATACTTCAAATGAATGTATCTCTTACAGTGGGATTTTTTGATGTAAATTTGATTAGTTTTTGAAAAAATTCTGATTTTTAAAATTTGAATATTGCAGACAATATCATCATGTCATAAAAAATTAGTTCCCGCTGATGTGCGACAGTTTCTTGGAGCTGTACCGGATGATGTGGTGCAGCAATTCGTAGCTTCATGCAGATCTCGTAATCATAATCAATTGTATGCATGCATAGAAAATATCAGACGAGAAGGATATGGGGTTTATCAGTTGTTGAAACAATTTTTCCACATATGCTTACGTCTCGAAGATCTTAGTGATTTGAACAAAGCTGCAATATGCGAAAAAATTGGATTAAGTTTTATTTTCTTATTTCTTTCTTTTTTCACTAATCACTTTACTTTTTTTTTCTTATTTCTTTCTTTTTGCCATGGAAATGACAGTAGTTAGTGTATTGTCTAAAGAAGGCAAAAAATCTAACAATTCAATGAAACTTTTTGCAATCAAATGAATCACTTACAAAATTATTGCTATATCATCCTTTCAGACATAACTGGTCACTATGTTTAACTTTGAATGAGTTTATTTCAAAAAAATTCTTTTTTCTTACCAACTGTCAGAAAATTCCATTCAATCTACCTATTCATTTGTCAGTTTATTAGTTAATGTTTCACAAGTTACATACTATAACTAATATCTTATTCAGGAGTGTGAAATGCGTATTCTCGATGGTGCAAATGAGTTCCTACAATTGCTTGATTTTGGGACGGTTGTGATGGAACAATTCAAAACTTCACTTTAAAATTTTTTGATATCTTTCGCTACATGATCTCATGAATTATTCGCTTTAAGTGAAGGAAAATATGAGTGAATTATGTATCAAATTTATACAATGCCTTATACATTTGCTCTCTTCTTTTGCACTTATTTCAGCATTATTTTTCTCAAAATTTTTGATATTAGCCAAAAAAGCATGAAATATAATTATTTTAAAGATTCTTTACTACACTGCTGTTACCATACCAAAAGAAAAAAAAAGACGACTAAGAATCAGTTTTTACTTCTTTAGTTCAAAGTTTTATTAAGTTTTAACATTGTGGTGTGTTATAATGCATTTTTTTTTTTTTTTTTTATTAATTTATTATAGATATATTAGTTATGTACACGTTGTTTGACATTACGAAACAAATGATGAATTAACGTTTGAAGAGAATATAAAGCATCGTTTTGTTTAACATTTTTTTTTTTTTTTTCATTTTTCCCGCTTTATATTTACTGAATTGAAATTAAAGAGTTTTTCCATCATTCTGATTAAAGATTCAAAGGTATATCCTCTATCATTTCATCAGTTGAGAGATATTAAAAATTATAGCTTTTTTTGTTTGCTTAAAATACAATTTTTATGGATTAATTTTCACGACAAATAATTTATTTCAAATAATAATTATTCATTTTCATTTCCAGGAATTTAATTGAAATTTATGTAGAACCTGATGGGATTATTCGCTGCTCTGTAGCAACCATTGCATCTTCCACACTGAAATTATTTGAAATACTCTCGAAGACGATAGTATGATTTTCAGAGATTTTGGTGAATTATTAAGGACATAAATCAAGAAGATAGAATATTCTTGGATTGCATAACTGCTTATTTCTTCTAATTAAGTTTAGCAATTTCAGATGGGCTGAAAAGATTATTGTAATGGTATGTTTGAGTGCTATTTGTATATTTCAAAAAATAAAAAATCAAATTTCAGTTTTCAAATTTAGGATGTAAGAATAGGAAAAAAAAAACCTTGTTAAGACAGATGTTGGGAAAATCATGCCATCAATACTGTCACCACTGGGACTCTTTGGAGTGCTACATAGATCGGTTGATGACCGTCCACTATTGCTATTATGGCTAATTCGATTCTTCTTACTACCCTGATATTTCTTTTGACGTGCTCTTGAATTCTAGAATTTCAAAAATCATTTATGTAGCTTTAATGGGATAGGATGATAACAGTGCAGAAAACAACCAAACAAACGAAAAACAAAACAAAGAGAAGAAAGAAAAAGTGGACCGCAAAATTAAAATAAATATAAATTCAGAAATGAGCAATTCATTCTTGATAATCTTTCATCTTCAAAAGAAAGAAAAGAAAAATAAGAGTGATTTTTACCTGAAACCAAACTTGTGTAACACGCTTACTAAGACCTGTCATTGTAGCAATTCGTTCCAAATCAGCACCATCCGGATTACTATCAATTTGGAAATGCGTTTGTAAAACGGCTAATTGCTCTTCAGCAAATGTTGTTCGTACACGCTTTGTTTTTGCTTTTTGTTGTCCTAAAATAATTTATACAAATTTCATTTTCTAAAAAGAGAAATGAACAAAGTTTATTATTAATTAATTATTGCACACAAAATATTTATTAAAACTAATTAAATCATACCACATTCTCCTTCAATCAATTCCATATAATGCTGTTTGCAAAGCAATCGACAATCTTGCAATGCAAATTCTTCACCTGTACTTAATTGACGTTTGCATTGATCGCATGCAAAACATGCAAGATGATAGACAAAATTACGAGCTCGTCTTACCCAATCAGTTGCATGAATTAAACGTTGACAGGATGAACATTTTGTTCCAAATCGTCTGAAACAATTTATAATTCTTACACTAAATTTGAAATAATGAATATTTTTTAAACATAAAATGTTGAATTAGTATAATTTGTGTATTTATCAAAATGAATTTTCCTTTTTTTTTTTTTTTTTTTTTAGTTTTAATAGCAAAACAACTATAGATAAGAGATAATTTCAGAAATGATTAAATTAATTAACATGTTTAATTGCTAATATGCAGCAAGCATTTATACCTATAACAAAGCAGTACAAATTATTTGGTAAATAATTAACACTAAAAATAAATAGCTTTGTTAGGGAAATGCAATAAAAAGTAACCAGCATTTGAATAAAAATAAAAAAATGAAAGATACTGTAGCAAAAGTAGCAAAAGCTAAGATTAATTATTATAAATAGTAATTGAACACTAGATACACCTATACTTAAATACTACTATACTCATGTAACATTCGAATGCCACAGTCATCATTAGTTGTTCATGAGTGTATATAGAAGGAAATGAATGATCAAATAATTATAGCAATATCAATGCACTGTTATCGCTTCTATTTCATTAATATTCAAAACGAAAATTAGATTCTTTGAAACGAAATTCAAATTCCTTGAATAGGATTTTAATTTCTTGAAGTCATCAATTAATATTGTAGACATCTAAAGGAATTGATCAGGCAGATTTGGAATGCAAATGAAATAATAATGCTCGAAAATAGAACTTCTGCAGGTCATAGGATATTTAATTATACTTGAATACTTAAATCGACACGAATCAGTTATAACATGCAAAAAGTATAAATTCAATTTGAATTTTTACAAGTTTTTGTTAAAAATAACGGTTTGCAATATTTCATTTCAAAATCGTATGCGACAAGATTTGGTGGAAGTTTTAATTTTAGATAAAAATTTTTTAAATGTAAACCTCGAATTTAGAAATTTTTATTGCCCAAACATCTTTGCATCATTCAAATTTTAAAATTTAATTAAGAACCATTATTAGCTGGTAGGACTGAAATGGAAGAGGAAAAGAAGGGTCCAGGGACAAAATGTCATAGTTAACAATTAACAATAAGCTTGTTACATCATTGTAATCTTTGGTTGTATTAAATTATACGCCTATTCTGTGTCACTTGAGAGGATGATTGGGCAGATGTCCTATAAGTAACCTAGATTTATGCCTCTTACTACTGTTACTATTACTCATTTATGTCTGATCGGACTGGATAAGTAATCGCTGATAAGTAGTAATCGTTCTCGATTATACACATTCTTTATCATCAGCGAATCATAGCTATCATTAAGCGAGCAAATAAAAAAAAAGAAATATCAGGATAAGCAAAAAAAAACAGGGGCGAAGAAATTTTATCCGAGAAAAAAAAATTTTAAAACGAGCAATCCGAAAAAGTTGATTTATTTCTATATTTGTAAAAAAAAGGAAAAATAAAATAAATATAGATAGGAATTAATTAAATAACTGTTAACTGAAAAATATGGCAAAAGAAAAAAAAAAGGAATTAAAGTCCTAACTTTATGGATTAATTAATTTTCCATGGTTTATTATACATTCATACAGTTTCATTTATTTATTCCTTTGGTTTTTTATGAATAAATCTACTGAAAACAGTCATATAAAGTTATTAGCAATACTTCATAAAATAAAATACATAATCTCAACATACAAAAAAAAAAGATCTATCAAAAAAATTTCTTATTAAATAAACGAAACAATTAGGAAATACCGGTGGTATTTTCCCATTCATTTGTAATAAAATGATAAACTGGTAGGCTAAAGAAGCTGTAATTTTAATAAATTTCAATATCAATTTATTATTCTTGTCAATTTATTAATTGCATTGAAATTATGAATAATAAATTATAAAAATTGATTGAAATGTTAAAAAAATCGACCATTCTCCGTATGTTTTCTTCAAGAAATTTGTAGTTTTAAAATATTTTTATGCAATATTTATAACTTAATCTCAAATAAGTAGAGATAGCAAGAACAACGATAACAACAACAATGACAACAACAAAAACAATACGAGCAATAATAACAGCAACGACAACAACAATGATAACAGAAACGACAACAACAACTACAACAGCAAAACCATTTTGGATGTTTTGGGGATACATTTAAGAGAACAATAGTAAACAACAAATATGAGGTAAATTTTTTTCCGGAAAAAAAAGAAATTAAAAGGACCAACCTATTATAGCATTGTATGCAAAAGAAATTATTATCTTTAACAAAACAAGATGAGTACTGTTCCAATAATGTGGAACACTGTGAACATTTCAAGCAATTAATATGCCAAAATCGTGAATTGACAGTTAACAGTGTTCGATCTAAGATAAATTCTGAACATGATGAGCATATTTCCACTTCGAACTGAAATAAAACAAAATTAATTTTTCTTTCAAAAATAGTAAAATTGAAAAAAAAAAAAAGAATTTTTGAATCGATAATTTGTAATTAAATGGAAGATCAAAAAAATAAGTTCTAAAATTTTTCTTGCACTAATTTATAATGAATTAGGTTTCAAAACACACACACACACACAAAAAAAAAAAAAAAAGAAATAAATCGGAACTTTGTGTGGACAATTTACGATGAATAAAAATTGAGAGTTTAAATTTTTTGTGTGAGTGATTTTGTAATAATATCTAATTGATATATATAACTTATAGTATGAAAGAAGATAAATTATGTTTTATGAGATTTTTATTCTATGCAGTATAATTTCTAAAATACTAATAATTTCGAAATTATTGAAAATCAAAGGTAATAATAAACCATTTGTAATATTATTTGAAAATTTACTTTTTTTAGATATATTTCTTGGGTGTGCTGAACTGTTTCAGTTAATGCTAAAAATTTTTTTGTATTCACAATTGAACTAACAGTATTATTCATTTTTTTTAATTTTTGTCAGGAAATAATGTGATAACTTCTTTGGTGCCTTTTCAATTAATTAATTAACTTTATCTTTTCAATTAATTAATTTTCATTCAAATTATGCTCATACATTAAAACCAAATCTATATGTAGTCATAATTTATTTTCATTCCTATATAAGTTAATGTCATAAGAGCTATACAAATTGATTAATTTCTATTAATTAATTAATTTAATTTATGAAATTTTAAACTTCAACTAACGATCATTTAAATTCTATTTCATAAATCCAATCATACCTTCCTGCATATTTTGCAAAATAGAATATTATATTTATAAATTAATTCAATCATATCTAAAATTTGGATGAATAAATCAATGGAATGGAAAAATTATTAACCAACTACAAAATTTTAAATCGCTTAAATAAAATAAAGTAGAAATGTTTAATGCAAGGCACTTACTTTAAAAAAAAAAAAATTGCAATATTTAAGCTTTATTGCGTACGACTGACGAAAAAAAAGAAACGTAAAGAATTAAAAGAAAAAGAAAAAAGATAAAAAAGTATTAAAAATAGGACACCTTTGAAATTCGATGTGAAAAATTTGGTTCATTAGCCGTTGTTATTGCACAATTGCAATTGCTATTATTACTATTAACATTTGCGCCATCATTTCCGCTACTGCTATTTCTGCTTCTATTAGTGGTAATAATCATTGTTGTATTGCTTTGATCAGATTGTAATGAAGCTGCTGTTAGTGTTCCAACAATTGCGCAAATATTATTTTCCGCATTTTGTAATGTTAATGTTTGTGCAGATTGTTGGTGTTGTTGTTGTTGACAATGATGTTGATTATTAGCATTTAAATCATTTTTTATTTCGTTAGGGGTTGTTTCAGCTGCTAGAGCAACAGCTCGTGTTGCTATTGTGGTCGACAAATCAAGTGATAAATCGGATTTTATTGAATGATTAAGTAATCCAGTTGAAGTATTACTGTAACCAGGAAATTCATTAATATTAAGTGTTGTTCGATTAAGCGATGCGAATGCATCGGTATTATTAATTAACGATGACGTACATGCACCAAAATTACTGTTTTCCGGAATTCCTGATGCATCATTTGTATCACAAAGTATCGGTATAAGATTATTAGCAGCAGCAATGGTTGTAGTATTATAATTAATAGATTTCTCGAATAAGCGATGATGAATTTCCATTTCCGTAATAATCGTAAATAGGTGAAATCGCTTTTATTGAGCGTAAATTACTTATTATTTCCTTTTCTTCAATACATCAGTAAATAATGCCTAATAGTAACGGTTGTAATAATGACCATAACGATGATAATAACGAGCAATAATATCAATAATAATTTTGGTAATAATCAATGTTACTTCACTAAATGTAAATTTTTTTTCCCCGCAATTCTGCTATCATTAATGAGGTTCGACAAGAATGTGGATGTTAAGAGAAAGGAAAAAGAAAAGGAATTGCGGAAAATTATTTAAAATAATTTTTAGAGTTATTTAACAACTAATAAATGAGAAAGGAAAATGGATGAAAATAATAAACATAAATATATTTGCATATATGTACAAAAAAAAAATTAAGATAAATTATAATAATGATGAATATATACATGCATTTATGCCGTTAGGTATGAAATTTTTGAAATGGTTAGTTAGGGGGTTTTTTTTTTTTTTATCATCACCAATAATAATAATAATAATAATAATAATAATGGTGACGATGACATTGTTAATGTTGATGTAAATATGATGGTGATAAGAATGACTATAATAAAAGATGAAGATGAAGCAGTTTGGAAAGCTTAAGGCTTATAATAGAGTAAAGAATTGAAGTGAACCTTAACGAAGCATATTCTTCAAGCTCTTTTAATGATAATAATAATAATAATAATGATGATGATGATAACGATGATGATGATGACGATTTGTAACGAATTCTAGCCTTTTGCGTCAAGCCTATTTGTTAAAGGGTGAAGCTAAAACTCCATCCATTGCAACATAATTTATGAAAAATCTCCTCCCTCTTTCCCTTTCATTTCCTTCTCTCTTCCTCTCTCTCTCTCTCTTCCTTCATTCATTCCTTCTTTTCCTCTTCTTCCTTCTCTTTTCCTTCCTTTTTTCATCGTTTCCTTTTTTTGATTCAAAATCACCGTAATCTGATGTCTATCATTGATGATTTCTATTATCTAAATATATGCTTTACCATATATCCATCCATATCTACTACACACGTATATATATATATATATAAGCTTATCATCCATCCTATTTTTATTTTATTCCCTGAAGGACTAACCTTCCTCTAAGCCTTTTCACTCCCTCCGGAAATTTTCCTCTTTAACAAAATGACAACAACGGGACACGATAGCATAGCACATCCCATTTTATTTCCATTTCACAACTACCGTACCCTCTTCCTTCACTTAATCTTTCCAAAATTTATTGTTATTATTTATCATCATTATCGCCTTATCAATCATAACATCATGATATATTTCCAATCAGCATTTTTAATTATTATTCATTTTTTTCTTGTTCTTGTTTATCGCTTCTTTTTTGCTACGAATTTTGGATTATTTTTTTCTTCTCTTCTCGCCATTGATCTTAATTAGTATTGTTGTAAATGTGCTAAAATTCAATATCACAAATATGATTTATCGCAATATCTGTTTATCAATAATTCATGTTGATAAGAATAAATTTAAACTTATTCATACTCTATCGTTCAATGAAATTTGTTTTTTGTCCACTTTTTTTTTTTTTTTTTAAATCGATTAATTTTTCTCACAAGTATACTCAACCAATTGATCCCTTCAAATATTATCAAAATTTTTCTTTTTATTTTCGTTCCCACTTTTTTTCATTTTCATCAAATTAAAAGCTTTTTTTTTTGATAATTTTGTATTGCAATAAATTTATCAGTTCAATAACCTATCAAAACATCAACAGTGACAATAGAAGGAATGAAAATGAGTTGATTTGATAGGCAGGACTTTTAACAGTATCATTCATTCACTTCTTCAACTTCTCTAATAATAATTAATGTATGCGTAAGTTGATAATTGCATTTGATAACTACAATAATTCAATAATGCTTTTACAATAAGTTCAATAAGTACGTTTTGCAATAATTCGATAAAATAATTTTGCAGCAGACATCACAATAAGCTAATAAGAGCTACAATGAGTCGATAAGAAGCCACAATAAATTAGTAATACAAGTGTTATTGTCTTATTAGTACTATAAAAATTTGCAACATTTAACATTGAAATAAAAATTAATTGTTGCAAACTATTTGAGTCATTTAAAACATACAACTTAGCTTAAAAATTGTTTTCAATTTTAAAAATAGTTCCGCTATTAATAAAATTAATATACTACAGAATATAGTGAGGTTTGCATTAATTTGTTCAGTACGAAAAAAACATTAATTACATTATGAGTAAGCTAATAATTAAAAATATTCCTCACACTAATTGCACTACTAATTAATTGTATTAATTAATCACCATCATTTTGAATGAATTGTTATGTTTATCAAAAGATTTACTATTTCATTTCATTTTTTCTTCACGTACGTTTCAAAGAATTAGTTGTCATTACTATTGCTATGTCATAATTATTATAGTGTGGACTTTATCAATTATGAATTTCAGAATTGCACAGGTGATAATCACGGAAACACGTGAACCACTATTATCAACTTGTGTTGAAATAAGTAGTTCAACAAGGAGCGGTGTTAAACTTAAATGATTTATACTATTGGAAGAAAGTACTAAACCAAACGATGGGTCGATTATTTTGTGATAAGAAAGTCCATTAATAAATAAAGTTCATATTATTATCATTTGCTATATACCAGTTATCATTTTTCGTCTTTTCCTTTTCTTTTGAAGAAAGAAATTACCAGCATATTTCTTACCAGTATGATCTAATTCAATCTACATGTTTTTATTCAAGTTTTGATGAAATTATCACCACTTATCGCTCTAACAATATGCTTTAAAATTGAGAAAAATGGAAACTTTTATTTTATTGTTTTCCATCAAAATTCAGTACGAAATTTCAATTCCTAGAATTTATCAAGCTAAATATACATATGTTTATTTATTTGTTATATCAGTAATAGTAGAATTAACTTGATATAAATGATAATAACAATAGTTAAGCATAAAATAAATTTCACATTTAAAAATACAGGATGCGAAATTCTTTCTATATTGTGTCTTCAAAAAAAAAAAAAATTTTTCCGACTAATTTTTCAAAATTTTTTTTTATGTAACAAGTTTCTTTTTTTCATTTTTTGTTTGAATATTATGCAAAGAAGTTGAGCGATTCTTAAACATAATATAGATAACGTTTATATCACATATTAATTTGAACGAAATGTTGATATCAAATGTTAATTTGAATGAAATAAATCATCAACTAACCATTAGCTTTAAACAAGATGCTAAATTGGCGATAAATGAATTTAAACGATTAATAGGATTGATTTGAAATTCAATTACCAAATTTGTCGAAAATGCTAATCATTATGCATCGGGATGATTTGGTTGACACACTCCTCAAAATGCCCAGTTTTCGGACGTTACAACAATTGGATTATCCATTCCTCTCAAATGGTCACTAACAGTCCTTCCTTTTTGCTGCTCAATCTGTCTATAACATTTTAAAACTTTCATTTGTAAAAGTAATAGATTAAAAATTAGGGCTAAAAAAAAATTTTTATTTTAAATTTTGCTTTTTTATTCCAAAACAAATTCGCATTGATTCAATCATTTCCATCTGAAAAGTTGCATTGAGATTTTTTTTATAAATTCTCATTGAAATAATGAATCATTTATTCGTACATTTCAATATACTAATTATCCATTTTATAAATAATTTCTTTTAAATAAATTCTATAAATAAATTTTTTTCCTCTAATCTCGGCGAGTGCAAACTATGCTTTTATCAAATTGCGCAAGTAGATGAGTCAGCAATTCTTAGGATTTTAAAATGTATCAATCAATAATATTAGAAATTACCGATGGATTAGTTGGATTACAGTATGCAAAAACGAGTGGGGTGGGCGCATTTGACGAATAAAGGGCAGGAAATTTGACACCATACATGGTAACATAGTTTATCAATCAGTAATGCGCTAATTGTTAGCTATTTAGTAAGATGGACAATATGGTGTTGCATCCTGAACGTGAACCAATTTCCGGATATGTCGTAATCGATGCAATGGATAGTTGAATGGGCAAATCTTGGATAAAATATGAAAAGCAGTTGATGCAATTTTAACACTAATATGTTAAGATCTAAAAATTTAAGCTGTTAAATTTGAAAACCTACAACCATTATTTATTAAAATAACAACAACATTTTTTAATCTTTCAAATTCGAAATTTCAAAAAAGAAATAAGGCTAACAATTTGTAAGGTAAGGTCAATTACAATCACTTTTTGTAATCAATTAAGTGCATAAAATATATTGGTTGAATAAATCAAACAAATTTTTATAATCAATTAAATGAATTTAGTAAATTTATTTGAATGAATATTTATTTATTTCCTAAATTAATTAATTTATTTAAATAAATTAAATATTTTCTTGTAACCAATCAAAAATTAATAAATTATTTTTTATTAAAGGATTATTGCTCATCAAAAGTAAATCAAATAACATCACTTCTCTCTAGTATCAATCCTAAATATGATAACTAAAGATTTTTATGAAATATTGAAAAGGAAAGTTTTAAATTTTAAAACGCTGGAAGAAATTCATAAAAAAAAGAAAAAGTTTTAAATTTCTAACAAATAAAACGGAAAACAGGAAGAGTTTGAAGAAAATGAGGACATGTGCTGAGAAAAATCAAGAGGTAACATCAAAAATATGCTAATGAAGAGGATTTTGTGTTATTTCAAAGAAATGAAGTACCCTTTGACTCGTTTATTCTTTTATCCATTACTACTAGCTTACTTACTTACCGTATATCACTTATCCGCTTTACTAATCATCTGCTATCTATACAAATAAATTATATGTTGCTTTCATCAGTAAACCAACAATTGATAATCTTATGGATAATTCTTTTAAAATAATATATGAAAACAATTAATATAATTAATGTTGTAAATTTCTGATTAACGAAAATATTTTTTTTTCTTCTTTTTCTTGAGTTTTTATTTATTTATTT